CACACACACACACACACACACACACACACACACAGCTCTCCACCTCTCTCTCACTCTCACACACACAGTAACAACACAAAGAGAACTTTGTATCACTGGTCCTCACCAGAGAAGGGCTACTGCACAAATTCACACTATTTTGGCAATGTTTACATTGCATTTCAGTGTGCAAAGGAGAACCAATTGAGATGCTGTAATGAAGAGAGTTGAGGTAGAGGGTGAGGCCAAAGGGGAAGGACAAGTTAGTAACYAGCCTGAATCAGTGTGATAGTAAATGGTGGGGTAGTGCAGGTTTTTCAAGATTTCTAGGCCTTTGTGCAACTCCTTCTGTTTTTTAAACTGATTAGAGCTCTTACCACATAATAGGTCCTTAAAAAATTGATCTCTAAACTGGTTGCCAGCCAATTTTGAATTGGGAACATCGTCAGAGACAACCATAAAAAAACATGGCTGTATGCCATACACAGCCAGTCTCCTGAGGCTTTAACTTCTAGCCAGTAAATTAAAACATACATGGCACAAATCATTACTCTTAACATTTGCAAAAAAATATATATATAAGCATAACATTGACAGTTATTTTGTAAGCAAGTGCATATGGCTATTATATTCTGCAGTAAAATTAGGAAATCTAAAAGCTTAGGTGTTGATTGTACAGGCTCACTGTTGGCATCAAGTGTTTAAACTGTCAAGATGCATGCAGTGTGCATGGCAATGTAAAGATGCTGGCACTCAACCAGCTACTGCCAATTACCATATTTTAAGTAACCAACCATCCAACCYATATCTCACTTTTGCAGGCTTTGGCTGGTTGTCAAAAGTAAACTATTAATAATGTATGTTCTAATTTACTACCTACCCAATACACCCTCATAGTTTATCTTGGACTATAGCGGAAATGTTTTACACTTTCTCTGTCTTCAACATCATGCCAACCAACAGATTTTTTTTTTCTATAGAAGATTAAACCGCTTCAAACGGCTTCAAGTGACCACAAAACCTTTTTTTTTTTACCATAACATACAAACTGAGACACACAAACTTCCTGTTTCTGTTCTAGGACCTGTTGTACATTCTAGAACACGTTTAACCAGGCACTGAGAGCCCTGGCATCTAGAGCACGCTGACGTTCACTCCTGAATTTACAATACAACTGTGACAATGTAAAGTATATAATAAGAGAACTAAGCAGTTCATTCATTTTTAGTGTTTTTTGAGCGCACGTACACACAAAAAGAGTTGGGCATAAAAAAATTATTCTACTACAGTACAAGTAATAATAGAATATGCTTTCAAATGAAAAATAACCTAAATGAAAATAACGTAAAACAAATTAGATCGCATCTACAGTAAATCTACTATACATGATTTAAGCTGTGTTTTTGTCCTCCATCATCTTATTTAGAAAATATCTATTTATCACTGAATATTCACTCTACTCATTATGATACAAGAGTCCAGTCACATTAAATAGAAAAATATCAAATATCACCAGTGATGATAAGAAAACATGACAACCTGAACAAGCAGAAATATTGCTGCGGTAACCACCATAGTTTTTTTTTTTTCCTTTTTTGACATCAGCAAGTAAAGTCCCTCTGTTGCTCTTTGTCACTGTCCTGAATCCTTGTTGTTGCAGTGAAGAATCAGCACAACTAAGAAGCAGGGAGAAGGAGTGAGAAATCTGAGGGTTATGTGGCATGGAGGTTTTTTTATTTTTATTTGTATTTATTATTTTGAATGTCAAATGGCTGTATCCCAGAATACAGTAGTCTGTGTAGGATATGGTGGAGGACGGATCTTTTTGGTCCCATTGCTCTTTCCACAGCCCGGAAGGACGGATGCGCTTTCCTGCTTGCACTGACTTTGTTCTTGGTGCTTGTCTTCTATTCGGTCAGAAGGTGGAGGCCTCTCCAGGTACCTCTGCAGGTGTGGATGTTGTCGGGAGCGTATTTCCTTGCACAGGATACGTTTCCTCTCTATCTGCTCAACCATAGTTGTGTCTCCACATATCCATGGCATCTGGAACATCTGAAGGAAAGCGTTAATGTACTAGGTTTATTTAGAAGCAGACTGATCTCCAAATTATTTTTAATCCTTAACATGCCTGTGACATCAAATATTTGTAATAAACATGAATGCATTTTGAAAAAAGTAACATTGACAACATATTGGGAAAAATGAAATAAAATAAAAATCACACAACTGAGATGAACAGTTGTCAAGATACTTGCATGTGAATTAAGAGGAAGTGATGTCAAGGCAGGAGGTCTGTATGTAAATTGAGGATTGCCACAACATGCTGATGAGTGAATTAATTTAAGTTACTATCAGAAAGAGATCAATAAAATTCAGCATTCAAATAGATTCAAAGAGAGAGAGAGAGAGAGAGATTTTTATTTAAGAGTTCCCTTTCAATGTCACTTCACTTTGGCTGAGACAAATTCTAATAAAAATATGTCAGGTATGTGACAAACAGGTAAAGTTGTGTGTATTATGCCAAGTAAAGATGTTTTCTTTGACTTTTTGTATTTGACCGAGAAGCACGTCATAGGCACTTTGAAATCTGACGAGGCTTGAGATCCTATAAGATACATATTCTTGAGTATCAAGCATTGGTTTTTGCTCGTTTGTTGAGTCTATGATGTCAATGTTTATTCAAATATCAAATGGCATCAATTACAATCCAAAAAAAATCTAGCAACTACAATAAAGGCAACTAATAGAAATTTAAAAAAGGCTAAACTGAATATAAGATTCATTTATAAAGCTTATGACCATTATTTTAAGTGTGGCATGAGCTTTGTTGTTATGGAGGACAAAAACTGACAAAATTAAAATAAAAGCAGAAATATATAATGGGTTCAAAAAATAAATAAATGCAACAAATAGTTTAAGAACTTAACCTAATGTTTTTTTTTATTTACCATCATATTTATTTTTACAACTTATTTCCAACAAAATGTAAATTTAAGCC